TATAGATTGATGGCAGACCCCAAGAGAAAAAAAAAAAAAAAAGAAAGTCAGTAAACGCGCAAACCCTTCTTTCCAATCTGTAAAGTGAGTTCATCACCCCGACTCCACGCCTTACATTTCATCCGCCATTAATCATTATCAAAGCACGCATGCGCAGAGCGGCATCATGAAAAATTCACTTTACCATTTGTATTTACTTATTTTTATTTTATCATTAAAGTATTTTTTTTTCATTTTGCTTTAGTTTTGAAATGCTGGGAGTAAGTGAAAAAGATATAAGAAGAATGGATGGAATTGAAAAGAGTTAGGAAAAGGAAAAATGATTTTAAGGATGGTTAAAAATTCCAGGCTATTGCATCCGGATTATCCTTAAGTTTCTTGTTTTGTTTATTTTAGAGTTAATACCGTGTAAACAAATATGGCGACAGATTGATCGTGAGTTGCTAAAATGGAATAGAGTAATGGGTAAGAATAGACTATATTTATCGCAGATTTTATAAGTGGACGAATGTAATAAATAATAATAATAAGACTACAGTGTTCCTGTATTTTGTCCAGATCTTTTTAAAAAATAAATGTTTGCAATTTTCAAAATCAAACTTAGTTCATCCGGATCAAGAATGTCGATAAATTGTTTTAAGTTTTGTTTTGTTGTTTCGTTCAAGAACTTTCGACCGTTTCACTCATTTTGAAGATGTGAGTGTTGTCAGTGTGGTAGACAAATTCGTGTTAGCTACCCACTGGCATTTTTTCTAGGCCAGAATGTAAATCAGTCTATCGTGACGGAGTGCCCCGATCACTATCGGAATGATTTTTTCTCCGGCATTTTCCACAATCTGGCAATCTTAAACTCCAGTTCAGAGTCATTACTGATCTATTTGCTTTAATGTTATATTGTCGTCAGCAGATATCGCCATAGAAGTTATTTGGCATTCGTTTTCAGTTGTACGCTATTTACATTATTCGGACTATTGTCCTCATCTTTGTCGCCATATTTATTAGAACGTTTCGGCGTAGACTGTTCTTGTTCCACGTGCCATGTTTAATGGATGTCAGTTATCAGTTATCTCCACTGTATTGAACTTACACTGTTTGGATCCTGTCACTGGATCTAACCAACGCCTTTATCCACTTGTCCTTTGTGAGTTCAATACTCGGTTAAAGCAGTGGAGAACTTGGAGAGGGAAATTAATAGGAGATAACTGATAACTGACATCTATTTTAAAGCATAGCACGTAGAACTAGAACAGTCTAAACCAATGAGCGAAAGAAAGGGTTCAGTTCGATATTCCAACCACCTGAAGAAGGCCGGAGCGTACAACGGCCGAAACGTCGTAATAAATATGGCGACAAAGATGAGGACAATAGTCCGAATAATGTAAATAGTGTGCATAATACCTCATCTCAGAAATATAGACAGATACTGAAGGGCCGAAACATTGTAATAAATATGGCGACAAAGATGAGGACAATAGTCCGAATAATGTAAATAGTGTACATAATACCTCATCTCAGGAATATAGACAGATACTGAAGGGCCAAAACGTTGTAATAAATATGGCGACAAAGTTGAGGACAATAGTCCGAATAATGTAAATATTGTACATAATACCTCATCTCAGGAATATAGACAGATACTGAAAGGCCGAAACGTTGTAATAAATATGGCGACAAAGATGAGGACAATAGTCCGAATAATGTAAATATTGTACATAATACCTCATCTCAGGAATATAGACAGATATTGAAGGGCCGAAACGTTGTAATAAATATGGCGACAAAGTTGAGGACAATAGTCCGAATAATGTAAATAGTGTACATAATACCTCATCTCAGGAATATAGACAGATACTGAAAGGCCGAAACGTTGTAATAAATATCGCGATAAAGATGAGGACAATAGTCCGAATAATGTAAATATTGTACATAATACCTCATCTCAGGAATATAGACAGTTTTCAGTTGCGTTGAAGAAAACTATATCTGATTTTTGGTGTTCAATAACTCGGTCTGTTTGAAGTCCCTGACTAACTTTATTTGGCTTTCTCCTTCCGCTACTCTGAATAGTACGTGATCGGATACATTGTAGCCATATTTCTTTTTGCAGGAGAACCCACCCAAAGTTAAACTCGGCTATATCGTGTTTTATGCTCTCTCTCTGTGATAGCATTTTACAACCATTGATTACATATGTGTCATTGTCTTGTTTCTCAACACAAAGCTTACACATTGGATCATCTGTAGGGTGGTACACGATGCTGGCTATGTAAGGCGTGTCTCTGTGCAACCATGATTGCATTTGTGCTTCGAGCATACCTTCATGAGTCCTACTGTTACTCTTGTAAATTCTCCATGCAACTTATGTCCAATACGTATTATTTTATATTTTATACACATTTCAAGATGTCGTCTCCTGGGGTGAAATATATTGTATTTAATATGTATTTTTTCTTTTGATTAATAAATGTTTCTAGAATTTTCACTCATTCTTTGCAGTATCGTATTTTGCTATTATTTATTAGTATGCGTCTTCGGTTGATAGTTGAACTTTAGTTGTTTTTGATGTGATTGTTAATACGTGCATAAAAATTTGAAAAGACTTTTGCCGACTGAGTGCTTCTTATGAATAAATCCTTACATCAAAGGCATGATAAATCAATTAATTTATCACGCACCTGATGTGCAAATTTAAATCTGCGAACTCTGAGTCATGTGATAAATCTTTTAAACTTTATCTATTATTAATGTTCAATTTTCTTAATATTTAACACCCTATATACATTTCTACGCGCTGTAAAAAGACGTTTTTCTCCAGTAATTTACAGGTTGATTTTTTTCCGTAGCTAATCACTGATATATATATATATATATATATATATATATATATATATATATATGTAGAGAGAGAGAGAGAGAGAGAAAGAGAGAGAGAGAGCGTGTCTGAATCATCTTCAAGAAGCGAGAGCAAGATCTAAAAGGTCAGCCAGTCTAACAGTGATCTCATCTCACAATCCTTACCCTTGCTCCGAATAGAGTACAATTTCAACGTTCGTAACATTTCATTTAAAAGAGGGCTCATTACAAAATAGAGCTAGAGCCTTTATTTGGGATATTACACGGAAAACTTACATATTGAAACATGAAAGCATTTGTGTAGCGATTTCGAAATGTTTTAATTATAATCTCTTATAATAAAAATCTAATAATAATATATTGCTCTCCTTTGTATTGAATACATTAAAAAAAAAAAAAGAGAAAAAAAAGAGGCAGCTGAAGTTTCTAGAACACATAATGGGGAAGGAGGGCCCGGAGAATCTGATACTCATGGGTTGAATAGAGGGAAAGAGACACAAGGAAAAGCAGCGTGTGACATAACTGACGAGCTTGAGCAGGTGGATGACAGAACGAGGTCTGGTGAAGGAATCAGAAGGAAGGGGCTTGATGAGAGCTGCAAGGGATAGAGGGAGGTGGAGAACCATGATCGCCCACGTCCTGAAAGGGCATGGCACATAAAAAGAAAAGAAAAGAATAGGATAAAAGCTGATACCAAAGGTTTTATTCTTGCTGCACAGGAGCAAGGCGTAAGAACTAGAAATTACCAAGCACACATACTGAAAATTTGTGTTAACCCAAAATACAGATTCTGTGATAAGTATCAAGAAACAACTGACTACCTTGTATTAGGTTTCACGGTATTAGCACCCACTGAGTATAAAACTCGGCATGATAGAGTGGAACAATATCTGCACTGGAACATTTGAGACTTTTACGGAAACGAAACAGCAAAAGACCGCTATGAACATCACCCATACCCGGTTACAGAGATAGGATCTGTAACAATATTATGGTCCGCAAAAAAAACAGAATTTTATCTGAGGAACTCGTTAGCCTACATTGTAGCCTTAAGGATTCGAATAAATTCTTTTAATGCGTAAGCATTGGCTATAGATTTTAGTCTAAACAAAAGTCTAAAGCAGGAACACTTGTAGAAGAATGATTTCTCTCTTACCATAAATATATATATAATATATATATATATATATATATGTGTGTGTGTGTGTGTGTGTGTGTGTGTGTGTGTGTGTGTGTGTAATTAATGTGGAGAATCTTTTCACTTAACTGAATGGTGTTATTTCAGTCATGCCGACTTCGAAGTTTCGTGAGCGCAATTTAATAATGCCATCACACTTCAAGGCGGTTGACAGAGAAGCCAATATACCTGAAGAGTAGACGTATTACTAGAATGCGTTCACGAAACTTCGAATTTGGCATGACTGAAATAAAACTACTCAGTTAAGTGATAAGTTTCTCTACATTAATTCTATTTACGCCCTATCGTTATCTTTTGATATGGAGCACTTTATGGTAAAAATCTGCCTTTATTGGTGCAAAGCCTAAAATCCCACTAAAGTATAGAAAAAGAACCAGCAATTTCGGTACCTAAAAACTCTTACAATATATTATATATATATATATATATATATATATATATATATATATATATATATATATATATAGTTAAGTTATGAAGAACTTGGTAAACCGATTTGGTAAATCCAAGGAGGATGAAATCCTGAGAGCTTAATGTGAAGAACAGAGCTAATATTTAATGAAAAACAGGCCACTTTAAGGTACCATTACAATAATTTACTTCACCAAAATTCTTTTTAAAGGATTTCGGATCATCAGGTAACACTTCCAACAATGAAATGAGAGGAAAATGGGATTAGAAATTGATGGGTGTAATATGCATATATATATATATATATATATATATATATATATATATATATATATATATATATATATATATATATTAATGCTCTGTAAATTTACATTGAGCACTATTTTGTAAAAATAAAAATATCTATAAGAACACCGGATTATATATCTTACTGTTATATATATATATATATATATATATATATATAATTAATGTGGAGAAATTTGTCACTTAATTGAGTGATGTTATTTCAGTAATG